TTACCGTACCAGACACAGGGCAAGATTAATGATGGAAGATCAAAAAGCCGAGCAGGAGAAAACAAGGAAAGATATTGAGGAGTTGCGAGAAAAGCTAGATGYCATCYTCCTCGYGTTGGAAAAAGGCAAAGCGACTGCAGATCCTGCTACATCTAGCAACCCTATCCATGAGCCGCAAGAAACYCCGCCTTATCCACCTGGGTACGGTCCACCTCTTAGGCCAGTGGCAGAGGGTTTCATGCCACAATATACAACGTACAACCCTCTGTATGACGTCCCGATTGGTCAGTATCCGCATACCTTTGTTAAGGGAGCTCAGCAAATCCCAACCAACATCATTTTTCGAGAGCCCGAGCAAATGATGTCACCCCCTACAGTYSTTAACCTAGGTGGTYTCCCAGCCAAGACAGACCCAGTCRGACAAAATGCTYCCAGTAAMGAGAAGTTMGAAGTTCTGGAGGAAAGATTAAGAGCAATAGAGGGGACAGACGTTTTTGGCAACATCGATGCCTCACAATTATGCTTGGTGTCTGGATTAGTCATCCCTCCAAAATTCAAGGTGCCAGAGTTTGAGAAGTACGATGGTTCTTCTTGTCCTAAGAATCATCTTATAATGTACTGTAGGAAGATGGYAGCGTACGTCCAAAATKACAAATTGTTGATACACTGCTTTCAAGATAGTTTATVTGGTCYGGCCTCTCGTTGGTACATGCAGTTAGATAGCTCTCATGTTGGCTCGTGGAAGAATCTGGCCGACTCCTTCCTAAAACAATATAAGCATAACATAGACATGGCTCCAGATCGCTTAGATTTACAGAGGATGGAGAAGAATAGTACAGAGAGCTTTAAGGAGTATGCTCAAAGGTGGAGGGACACGGCAGCTCAAGTCCAACCTCCTTTAACAGATAAGGAGCTATCTGCCATGTTCATCAATACCCTAAAACATCCTTTCTATGATCGGATGATAGGAAGTGCTTCCACAAATTTCTCTGATATTATGACCATCGGAGAAAGGATCGAATACGGGGTTAGACATAAGCGAATAACCAGTACTGCCGATGAGCCATTAGCTGCAAAGAAGGCAAGTCATTCCAAGAAGAAGGAAGGTGAGGTGCAAATGGTGGGAGCAGACCGACATTCTTGGAAGCAACAACCATACAGTCGGACACCGCGATACACTCCGTATTATTACCCAACGCCATACGGGTATAATCAACCATTTATGAATAATGCAACTTCACATTACTCCCTTTATGCTTCCCAAAATTTTCGACCCCCAGCCAGTCAAAATTTCCAACCTAGGGGTCAGCAGCATAATACATTCTATACTCAAGGACAGTAGACTAATAGAGGGGCACGTAAACAGACCCAGTTTGACCCAATCCCCATGACTTATACTGAGCTTCTGCCTCAGTTATTTCAAAATAATCAGCTGACGCCTGTACCTGTAGATCCGATCCAGCCTCTATACCCAAGATGGTATGATGCAAATGCTCGTTGTGACTATCACGCAGGAGCCATAGGGCATTCAACAGAGAACTGCACTGCATTAAAATACAGGGTTCAAGCTTTGCTCAAGGCAGGTTGGTTGAACTTTAAAAAAGAAAATGAGCCTGATGTAAGTAAGAATCCACTGTCGAATCATCAAAATGTCCAAATAAATGCAATCGAATGCCAAGGGATCGAGTCGAAGAGTAAGGTTGCCGATATTAGAACCCCTAAGGAGGAACTATTCGAAATTCTCTTGGGTAGTGGATATGTATCAGTGGAATACCTATGCCCAAACCTCAAGTATAAAGAGTATGATGAAAGTCTGACGTGCCCGTTCCACGCTGGGGCAAAAGGTCACTCCCTAGAGCAATGCAACAGTTTTCGGATGAAAGTTCAAGAGTTGTTAGACTCAAAAATCCTTACTGTTGCAAATTCTCACCAGAAGAAAGGGATAAATGTCGTGGAGGATGTCTCAGTTGCTGAAGGCTCAAGTGATGCTCTTAAGCCAAAACGTCTCACCATCTTTTACAGTGAAAAGCCAGATGCACCCAGCTGCAGTCAGAAACCAATCACTATCACGGTCCCAGCTCCTTTCGAGTATAAAAGTTCCAAAGCAGTGCCTTGGAAATATCAGTGCAAGGTAACTGTAGGGCAAGATGTATCATCTCCTCCACTCCCAGTTGACAATATTACCGAAGTGGGAGGTTTGACACGAACTGGGAGATGTTATACACCGGATAGCCTT